TATTTGCTCTTCAAAAAAAAGAGTTAACTATGACTCTTTGATTTTAAGACTATCCCTACACATTCCTTCGTTTCATGACACTTCCCCCAAACATTTAGAAAATGCATACTTACAATACATACTTACAATGTAAAGAACCATTATTTACTCCTTGATTTAGAAAATATTTAGCAATTTTAAGTAATACATTCAGAACTTTTTATGCATATTGCCCCGAGATTATTACCTTACATATATTCTCATTTGTTTTTCACATTTTGTGAAAACCTCCACACACATGCACCTGTTGTCTGAGCTACTTAAGAAGCTGAAGCTGGAGGATCCACTTGCGCCCAGGATTCAGGACCAGCCTGGACAAAATGACAAGTGCCATCTCTTAAAACAAAAATGGAAATCAAAGGATTAAAATCCATTCTGAGTGATCAATACTGTGATGACCTCATTCTTCATTTTGCAGATGTGGATCTCAGAAGGATAATTAATCAAATAAAGTTATACACAAGGTAAACTGCAATGGCTTTCCTTGGAACCCCATCAAGATGTTGCTTATTCTATGCAGGTGACCTCACCCAGGGACAATTTTGTCTCTAATGGACACTAGGAAATAACTGGAGAATTCTGTTTATCCCAAGTGGGTGGTGCTTCTAATGGATTAAGGCCAGGGGTATTGCTGCACCAGCCCTCAGCACAGAGTTATCTACAGAAACATCAGCAGTATGACATTGTGAAACCCTGCTCTAAACCAGAACATCTTCAGCCTCAATGGAGTCTATGGATCCCTTGGGAACATTGCACAGATACAGATTCTGATTCCACAGGTCCAGGGTTGCCCAGAGATTCTGCATTTGTAACTGTATCCCACTTAATACTGATGTTGCGGGTCATTGTAAATGGTCTGCTCTTGGAGTATTACAGCTGTGGTCCAGTGTAAAAATCCAGTGTAGGTGTATTGAGGTTTTCTGAACTCTCCATCCACCTCACATCTGACCTTAGGTGTCAAATGTTGGATTTGGTACCTGAGTATCTGCATATAGTAGCTTACAAGTACCTGAAGATCCCACCTACTGTATGAAGCTGATATGAGAAGCAAGCTATGTTTTAGAGCTCACAGGAAGTTACCTGGTACAATAAGATCATCTCCATATCAAATCCATATCAATTCCACATCAGCTATTGAGAATATGTTCCACATTTTCTAAGCTTCTTATGATACCAGGTAAGTCTCTTGGAGCATTAAGTGAGTCTAGAAATGCCCTACTCCTAGGAGTCAGAAATTGTGATCATAGATGTTGACACACTTGGGGTGCAGCACTGGGGGCCCCCGCCTGGAGGAGACTTTGTACTACAGATTCAACATTTTCACTCATTAATGGTCTGTTCAGGTTTTCTACTAATGATGGTTCAATATCTGTGGGTGGCATATATCCAGGTTGTACATGTCCAGGAATTTATCCATTTCTTCCTGGTTTTACAATTTGTGAGAGTTTAGTTATTTTTATAGCCTCTGGTGATCCTTTGGGTTTTTGTGGACACAATTGGCAGAGACCACATGGCTGGAAATAGCAGGTGCTCAATAGACATTCAGGTTCCACACATAAAGAAACAACACATGTTTCAGGAGATGGGAATGCCAATAACCCTGATTTGATTATTGATATATTCCTTTCAAATTATTACTGTATCCCATAAAGATATGCAATTATGGGTCCAACAAAAATGAACTTTAAAACCCTAAGTCATCTGCTGATGGGTGATTTGACTTCTTGCTTTTCAACTTAGATACTATTTCTCTTGTGTAAATTGCTCTTGATAGAACTTCCTGCACCCAAACAAAACACACATTGGATTTCCTATCTCAACAACTGGAAGGTAGCAAAATACTGTTCTTTTTATGCTGATTTATGTCAGTTGTTAATAAAGGGAAAGAATCATACACACACAGCAGCCCTTATAATTGAAGTGTTTGACAGAATGTATTGACAGCTCTAACAAAATCCATGTTCTGGTATTGAGGAAAAGGCCAAGATTAGACAGAAATTGGAAAGGCAACAACTTAGCTCTATTTTCACCGAGAAAAACTGGGCAAGATTATTTTATGTTAGAGGAAGTAAAAGGGCAAATTTTGGCTTGCTTTTTATTATGAACCACAAAACATTGTTTCAAAACATGGTAAAATTAGCCTAAATTTGAATAGACATCTTAACAAAGCAGAATTACTACAAAATCTTCAATCAAATTAAAAAGTATTATATTATGAACATCACAAATTCATGAAGAAGAGAAGGATTTTGAAATGAATGGTGATTGGATGATGATTTGTTGAAATAAAGTTTGATTTGTTAACATGAATAACCATAATCAATTGAATTTGGAGTACAGAGTCCAAGAGGATACACCTTTTGCAAGAAATGGAAGAAATATAGGAGTAGAACTGAGAACATGTTCAATGGTCTCAAATGCACTGAAGTCATGCACATTCCCAGGACATTATTTTTCATGAAATAAGGTGCATGCAGACAGACAAATTCCACATCTTGACTCTCATATGCAGTTTTTAAAAAGGTGATTAGAATATGTGCTAGTGATTGCCAGAAGCTGGGAAACGTTTCACTGGGAGGATAGAGAGCCAGCACCGAGACATGGAGAGAAAAAGGAATAAGTTCTATTTTTCTACAGCCTGAAAGGGTGATCATCCTAGAGAATAACTCACTGTAGACGTGAACAATGAGAAAAGAGGAGCTCAAATTTTCCAAACAAGCAGAAGAATGGAAATGGGATCATTTGATTCACATTTATTATTTACATGTATTGAAACATATAGCATTTCCCATGACTATGTAGAATTATTAAATTAATCAAACAAATTTTTAAACTTGTTTAAATAATATGAATGTTAACTATCCTGGTTTGATCAATATCCAGTACATATTATCGAATTATAATACCATATCCCATACTTTTGTATGATTAAGATATTTTTTAAAATATTTTTAAAAAAATGTTCATGTTGTTGGGGCTCGGGATGTGGCTCAAGCAGTAACGCGCTCGCCTGGCATGCACGGGGTGCTGGGTTCGATCCTCAGTACCACATAAAATAAAAAGATGTTGTGTCTACTGAAAACTGAAAAATAAGCATTAAAAAATTCTCTCTCTCTCCTCTCTCTCTCTCTCCTCTCTCTCTCTCTTTAAAAAATGTTCATGTTGAAAATATTGTTAAGAAGATACAAAGCATTAGGGTACAATATGTAATATATTGTATATTAAGGAAAACTGACTTGCTTTGGTAACATTTTACTATCTATGTAAATCCCATAATACCATGTTGTAAACCTCAAATATACACAATGCTACTTAATTCAAATATAACGGTATTAAAATAAATTCAAAATAGCAAACAGGCATATGCAAACTATTTCAATTAGAATTTTAAAAACACAAAATTATCTAATAAGTTTGTGAATCAGTGATTTAAAGAAATAATTCAAGTGTCTCATAAATGTGAAAGGTGATCAATTCCATGAATGTACAAAGAAAATCACCTTAAGCTATCAAGGGAAACTTCAGAAACCTTACTTTGGTGTTTGCTTTATTCCTAAGACTGCAACATTCTGAGATAGAGCACTTGTTTCTTGGGGAGAAATCCAGAAGCAGGAGTTTGTATTTGAAGGCTTCCCTTTGAGCTTTAATGATTATCATCATGAAGTTTGTCTTCAGGCAACTTCCCATCAGGCTAAGAGAGCAGCCTGGTTGCTATAGCCTTGGGTTTGAGAATCTTCATCTCATCTGTGACCTGGAGCTTGTTGCCTAGTTACCATGAGCTCCTGCTTCCTCATAAAGGAGTTAATGGAATCATTCAATGAGATAATACCAAGCTAGTGGTTCAACAGCACTGGCAGATACAGAGTGTCATTTTATTAATGTGTTTTAATGGCCTCCAGCATGATATTTCAAACATGCATATAGTGTGCACTGACCAGGTCAGGGTAAGTAACATTTCCCTGCCCATATCATTTCTTAATATCTGTTGTCTTTGAACTCCACCCTCCTAATCTTCATAAAGTATATAACAATATATTGTACTCTGTGCTCCCCATGTTGGGCATCAGAACTTAATCCTTCTGTCTGTGTTTGAGTGCCATTGCCTCACATAAATTCATCCCTCCCTCCCTTCCATCCTTCCCAGATTTCAGGAATCACTATTATATATTCATCATAACTTTTCTTTAGCTTCCACATAGGATAGAGAATGTATAGCATTTGTCTTCTGGTTTATTTCACATGACAACGTCCAATCCCATCCATGTTCCTGCTAATGACGAGATTTCATTCATCTTTATATCTGAATAATATTCTATTGTGTATAAATACCACATTTTCTTTTTTCATTCATCCATCAATGGGAAGCTAGGTTAATCCATATATTGGCTATTGTGAATAATGCCACAGTAAATGTGGGGCTTCAGGAATATTTCTGCAGGCTGACTTCATTTCCTTAGTGGTGATACAATTATCAAAATCAAAGTCAATGAGTTTGAAATATTTTCCCACCTCAAATTCCCTTCTTAAACTAACCTATTCATACTTTCTGGTTCAGACTCTATACAACAATCCCCTGTCCAAATTTTAACAAAAATTCAGAATATAAACACCTTAAAAAGAACTGTACTACAGATCACAGATGCAAACATTCATGCAATCTAGTCTTGAACATCAAGGAATCCATATTGTGTGTGAGGAGAAAAACGGAATCAAAAATGAATCAAACAAAAAAGAATCAGAAAATCATTGGGGATTGGATCTCACCGAGGGAAGAAAGTGCAACAAGTGAAATACATAATTGATTATATGGAGAAACTGAAATCAAAGAAAGTAAAACTCCAACAGTAAAGTAGAAGGAGCAAGTTCTGCTTCCACCTTCTGGTAGGACCCCAGTTTCTGGCTCTGAGGCTCTGAGCCCTGCGATCATGAGCACTTCTTCAATCTCAGCACAAATGATGCTTTCACAGTTTCTCTTTGTCACAGAGTCTTCTCAGAGCGTTCTTGATGTCCTTATTCCTCAGACTGTAGATGAAGGGGTTCAGCATGGGGGTGACCACGCTGTACATCACCGAGGCTGTTGCAGTAGAGCGTGAGTTTGGGGTCACAGCAGAACTGAGGTACACACCTAGGCTTGTGCCATAAAACAAGGAGACCACAGAGAGGTGAGATGCACAGGTGGAGAAGGCTTTGTATTTTCCCTGAGCTGATGAGATTGCACGGATGGAGGACACTATCTTAGAATAAGAGTAAAGGATACCAGCAAGGGGACAACCAGCCAGTAGCACAGTTGCAAAGTATATCACCACATCATTAAGAAAAGTGTCAGAGCAGGCTCGGTGGACCACCTGATTAAGTTCACAGAAAAAATGGGGGATTTCCACATCTGTGCAGAAGGATAGTAGCAACATCAATAAGCTTTGCAACAATGCATGTGACATACTCACAACCCAGGACACCAGAACCAGCCACACACAGAACCAGGGCTTCATAATAACTGTGTAGTGCAGAGGGTGACAGATGGACACAAAGCGGTCATAAGCCATTATGGTCAGCAAAAAGATGTCTACCACTGAAAAGAGCAGGAAGAAATGCATTTGAGCGATGCAGCTTTTAAACCCGATGACATTGCTCTGTGTCTGGATGTTCACCAGCATCTTGGGGATGGTGGTGGAAGTGAAGCACATGTCCACAAAGGACAGGTTGGAGAGGAAGAAGTACATGGGCGTGTGCAGGTGGGAGTCTGAGATGGTGGCCAGGATGATGAGCAGGTTCCCCAGCACAGTGACCAGGTACATGGACAGGAAAAGCCCAAATATGAGGGGCTGCTGTTCTGGGTCCTCTGAAAACCCCAGCAGAAGGAATTCTGAAATTCTTGTGTCATTTTCTGTCCCCATGTGTTTGATGTAACTGGGGAGAGAGAGAGAAAAAAAGAGAGATATGACCCAACATGCAATGCTAACCTGATGGGAATGCAGTCATTTCTATTATGCAGTTAGGACACCAATGTCTCAGTTCTGGTGTGATTCTCCTTTCCTTCAGGGATCCCTCTGTCATCTCTGATCAGGAATACCTTTATTACTCTCAGCCTTTCCCCCAAATACTATGGATTTGAACTTTTCCCATGTATTGGAGGAATGTCATTTAGTGGCCATCATGTTCCAGGCATGGTCTAGGCAGTGATTGGTCAATGCTAAAAGACAAATGTTCCTTTATCTAATGATGGAGGAAGAGTACACACAAATGTCAAGAAATAATCCTGTGGCGTGCCAGAAGTTAACAGGTTCTCTGAAGAACAAAGGGCAGATGTGAAGGAGAATACGGAGAGAAAGTCTTCTTCTCTTCTGGGTGTTCAGGAAAGACAGGCAGAGGCTGGCACTGGAAAAGAGACCCAGGAAGAGTCAGGAGGATCCATGGAGTCATCTGTAGAAGAGTGTACCTGGAAAGGAGAAAGCTAGTGCAAAGGCCCCAAGGGAGGTGCCTGTTTCACATGTCCAGGGTCAACAAGGACCGTGTGACCAGTGGAATAAGAAAGGGGGAGAGGGATGTGAGCTGCTCTTAGAGAATAATGAAGCTCACAGTGACCTCATTGCTGCTGAATGCTCAGCCCCAACGAGACTGTGGGCACATATTGCATTTGCATTTTAAGTTGGTTGCCAAAATGCCTTCTGAATGGAAATTCATCCCTTCATTATTTCTATCTGTTGTTTTGTCTTCTGGTATTTGGGTTATGCGTTGGTTTTGCAATATATTGAGCCTACAAACTAAAGACACACACACACACACACACACACACACACACATGCACACACACATATGCTATGGTCTTCCAGGGCTATGTTAAGAGTGGCTTCCTGTCATGCCCAGGGCACTCTTAGGAAGGAGTAAACACCAGGAAATCTGTTGATATTAACTTATCTTTATCAGGTTGGACAAATAGTACCCATAAATTCCTGTTATTAAATATTCCATACACATGGCATCCTGGAGTTCTTCTTTGCTTTGGCCTTTTTCTGCCCTGAGTACAAGGAAACATCAGACAGGTTGGGCATGTAGCTCTGTGGTAGCCCACCTGGCTATCATACGCAAGGCCCTGGGTTCCAGCCCCAGCACAGGAAAAACAAAGAGAAAGAGGAAGGGAAGGAGGATTGACCCTGGGTTTCATCCCCAGCACAGCAGAACAAGAAGAGCAAAACCCAGGAAATATAAAAACTCTTCAAAATAAGCAGAGAGCCAATGAAATGGCTTAAATGGGGGAAAAGCTCTAATAAGCTCGGGTGGACTTGGAGAGAAAGTAAGAAAAAAAAGAATATTCCTCATCTATGGCTGCATCCCAAGTCATATCTGCTAAGGATCTGGGGTAGGGAGGGGGAGCATGGGAGGAATAGATGAATTCTAGATAGGGCAGAGGGGTGGGAGGGAAAGAGAGCGGGCAGGGGGTTAGCAAGGATGGTGGATGTGATGGGCATCATTATCCAAAGTACATGTATGAAGACACAAATTGGTGTCAACATACTTTATATACAACCAGATATATGAAAAAGTGTGCTGTATACGTGTAATAAGAATTGTAATACATTCTGCTGTCATTTATTTTTTAAATCAATTAGAAAACACAAAATTCTCAAAAACAATGTAATAATAATATTTTTGGTGCCAATATAGTTGAAGATTGATCTACTTGGGGGAAAAGCAAATACAGAGGAAAGGAAAAAGAAAAATTCAAAACAGGAAAACAAAATTTGTATATTTTATATAAAATATAAAGAGATGTTTTCCTGTGCCATATAAAACTGAGTTGTCTAATTGGGATTTATGTTTCATTTCCTTTTAATTGACACATATAATGGTACATATTTAAGGGTATAATGTGGATTTCAGGACATGTATACATTGTGCAATGATCAAATCAGGTTAATTAACATATCCATTACCCCAAATATTAATCATTGCATTGTGCTGAGGATATTCAAAACTTTTTCTCCTGGTGATTTTGAAATGTATGATTCTTATTTGTTAACCACAGACACGCTACTGTGAATATGATTACCAAAGTTGACGCAGCTGCCTAACTGGGAATTAATGCTTATTTGTCAACTCTTCTCCATTTCTGTTCCCCTTCCTCTCCCCACTCTCTGCTAACCACTGTTCTCTCCACTTCTGTGAGATCAACGTTCTTTGGATTCCACAGTGAAAATCAGTTGGTATTTGCCATTGTATGAAATAAGCCAGATGCTAAAAGACAAATACCAACTGGTTGTCGCGACCCCTTGCCCGCAGGAAGACGCAACTCGGGAATCTTCTTTCAACAGTTTATTCAGGCCCTGGATATTTCTTCTTCTCTCCCTCGGGTGCCCCTCCCAGCCTTAATAAAGCATCCCAAGCCCCAATGCAAAGCTGCCGCGTGGAACTTTCTCACAGGGTGATGAAAAATCATGTGCCAACTTTCCCAGATAAGAAGTTGTTTGTCACAGACCACAGCGGAGCCAGCGCCATCTTGTAATGGCGACCATAATCTGCAGAAACGGCAGAAGCGGCTCACCACAACTGGTGACTGTGTGTACGGTAGTGGTTAAGGTGGCCCCCTCTCCAAGGACTCACATGGTGTCTTTCTGTGTTATTTCTGGGCTTTCTGTTTGGAACTCTGGTGACAAACCCAGTGAGCACCTTCTAGTTCACTGGTTGTAGTCCTCAGTCAACAGGAAAAGGACTCCTAACAGCATATTCTATAAACTCCTGCACACACCATGACAGGACCATCCTTTCACAACGAATAAAATTCTGCATGTGGCTTATCCCCGAGGCCATCACAGCACACACTTAACACAAGGTACAACTGTCTTTGGCCTCATGAGGCAAGATCCAAAGAGCTGAGTTCACCTGTGTGGTTCGCCTTCCTGTTTTCACAATGGCATGTGCACACGTTATCTAGAGTCAAATTAAAGTAAAGGAAGGTTGTCTAACCAGAAGAATGGTAGGGGAATAAAACTAGTTTAAACTGAAGGGTTTTAAAACAACTGTTAAATAAAATGGAATGGAGCAACAAGCAGTATGTGAAAGAAGATATATAATAAAAATAGTTTGATGTGATCAAATGGATTTGTAATTAAATCAGCAGAGACTTAGACATAAAAGAATATAATCAAAGATTTTCCTCAGATTGTGTGGCTGGTTAGTTACTATTTGATAGATGGATCGGGAATTCAGCCTCGGTATAAATAGTCATTGAAAGATACCATCTCACTCCAGTAAGATTGGCAGCCTTTATGAAGTCAAACAACAACAAGTGCTGGCAAGGATGTGGGGAAAAGGGTACAATTGTACATTGCTGGTGGGACTGCAAATTGGTGCGGCCAATTTGGAAGGCAGTATGGAGATTTCTTGGAAAGCTGGGAATGGAACCACCATTTGACCCAGCTATTCCCCTTCTTGGTCTATTCCGTAAAGACTTAAAAGGAGCATACTACAGGATGCTTAAAAGGAGCATTCTACATCGATGTTCATAGCAGCACAATTCACAATAGCAAGACTGTGGAACCAACCTAGATGCCCTTCAATAGACGAATGGATAAAAAAAAATTGTGGCATTTATACACAAAGGAGTATTACTCTGCATTAAAAAATGACAAAATCATAGAATTTGCAGGGAAATGGATGGCATTAGAGCAGATTATGCTAAGTGAAGCTAGACAATCCCTAAAAAACAAATGCCAAATGTCTTCTTTGATATAAGGAGAGTAACTAAGAACAGAGTTGGGAAGAATAGCATGAGAAGAAGATTAAAATTAAACAGGGATGAGAGGTGGGAGGGAAAGGGAGAGAGAAGGGAAATTGCATGGAAATGGAAGGAGACCCTCAGGGTTATACAAAATTACGTACAAGAGGAAGTGAGGGGAAAGGGACAAAAAAAACAAGGGGGAGAAATGAATTACAGTAGATGGGGTAGAGAGAGAAGAGGGGAGGGGAGGGGAGGGGAGGGGGATAGTAGAGGATAGGAAAGGCAGCAGAATACAACAGACACTAGTATGGCAATATGTAAATCAGTGGATGTGTAACTGATATGATTCTGCAATCTGTATACGGGGTAAAAATGGGAGTTCATAACCCACTTGAATCAAAAGGTGAAATATGATATGTCAAGAACTATGTAATGTTTTGAACAACCAACAATAAAAATTATAAAAAAAAGAAAGTAAGACAGGGTTGTATTTCTGTTTAGTAAAAGGAACATTGAAAGGTTCTTAAAAGACTGACATAAATGGCTACCTGTCCAGAAATATTGAAGGAGACCTCCTTGCTCATGTCTCACAACAAATCTGAAGAACTTAAAGACTCAGTATGAAAATAAACAATTCATTCTAGAGGAACATTGGGGAAATGACATATAAAACTTGTGAGTGGGAAAAATCATCTAAAATAAGGCAAGAAACTCAGGAGTAATAAGATACACATATTTTACTAAATAGAATCTAAAATTTTTGGTGGTCAAAATAATCATTCCCAAAGTTAATAAAGAAAAATAAACTGGAAAATTCCACCCATGGTAATACTGATAAATTTCGAACATGGGCACGTGATAATAACAAGAAAATCGAGAGTGGAAGCAAGACAAAAATAAGGAAAAAGGGGGTCCTTGTGTGAAAATAGAAGAGCAATCAGGGAGCAGAAGAAGGGATTGAGGGGGAGGGAGGAGGGAGGGGGAAATGGAGGAACGGTGGTTGAATCTGACCTCACTTTCCTGTGTACGTATGTGAATGTACCAGGGATTTTCACCATCATGGAGATCCACAAAGCTCTAATTAAAAGTAAATAGCAGAGGAAAGGGAACAGGGGGAGGAAGGAAGGAGGGAAAAGGGAATTCCTGGGGACTGAATTGGAGCTAATTGTATTTCATGCT